CCCCCCCCTCTCCTTGGAGAATTGGAAATGAGAAATGGAGATGCGGAATCAGGAGGTGCTAAATTAGCTGGTTGATCTGCACTTATTGCTGCATCCACAGCCCCCATTACAGGGGCCTGGGTAGCTCTCTCTTAATATTCCAGGCATGGAGAGCCGTCTAGATAGCAGATTTATCAAATGGGAAAATGAATGTATGATGATCAGTTAAATTGAAAATCAGCTCCTGCATGACAGCCCGACCTGACACCTCCGTAATTAGAAAGAAAAATGATAGCGTCCGATGCATAATAGAGCAAAAACAATTTACACTCTCCCATAATGATCCGGCGTTCAAATTGAAAATTTCTCCTGGTAGAAATTGAATTCATAAAGTATGATTCATGGCGGGCGCATCTCCTGGAGGCTGCCTCGGACCAGATCGATTGATAGTTTGTCTAGAATCACACAGCCTGCCTGCTTTCGGGGCTTTTTCGGGGGGGGCAGGACGGGGGGACCTCTAAACTGCTTAAGTAAATCAGTAATTTCACCTTAAGGACACGAGTGTGCGGGCAGCGATACTCCAACATTCAAACTGCAAATCCATTATACATGAGACCCCCCCCCCCCCTTTCCCCCCCCCCCCCCCCCACTTCTCCTCCTCGGCTTCAGCCACCCAAATGAACAGCTGCAAATTGAAGAAAGGGGCCGATTTATCGCTGCCAGACAAATTGTTCACCTTAGATAAAATAACCAACATTTTTACGCGCAATTTTCTGCTACAATTTCATAAGTTAAATGACATTTTAAATACACTTGGTTGGGGTGCGGGGTGATGGAGGGAGAAGGGACGGGCAGGCGCGTTTTGGGGGGAGACAAAGGGAGGCCCCGGGCCTGCTCCAAATCGGGGCTGGGGGCGCAGGGGGCCTCGCCACTGGCCTCGCCGAAAAGGTGTTGGGCTCCTAGCCAAGCGGCCACGCGTTACCCCAACCCTAACGCACGGCGAGCGGAATGCGGAGGGGACCCCGGGAACTTCAGAGCCGCTGGGAGAGGCGGATCCGGAGAGCAGCGGGGCTGGCGCGGCGGGTCCTCTCCCGGCCGTCATCCCGCTCCGGCACCTGAAACGGAACGCGCAAGTTACTGCGATGCTGCCTCGGTTTTGCGCGCGGGGGGCGGGCCGGCGCTGAACCCGCCCGCGGTTCGGTCCCCCTCTGCCGGATCCCTCCCCGTTCGCCACTCTCGCTTCCCCCTTTCTTTTTCCTTTTGATCTAATTATTCCCTCCCCACCACCCCCATAAGCCCGGTCTCCTAGAGAGCAAATATCAGAGCCACTGAGCGAAAATTATGTAAATATTATGAAAGGAACTGGGGCTCAGAAATTCATTTGCGCCGGCTTCGACGGAGGGAGAAGGAAAGGGGGGGAGGAACATCCGCTCCTGTCCTTCTGATTATTTTCAATTTATTTGCAAATAAAGGCCTGATGACCAGGAGGGATCAGAGATATTTAACGAGGCTGTAAACATAATTCCACCGCGCACAGACTCGCCAGAATTAATGGTTTTAATAATTGGCAAGACAATTTCTGGGGAATTGGTTGAGGTTTAAGCGCCCTGCAAATTTCAGGAGACTGGGAGGTGGCACCAGGCTGGGCGGGACAGACAGACGGAGAAATAGGTGCAGATTTGGGGAGGGGGCGGGAGAACGCGAGGGGGGGTTACATATTTTATTTCTGGATTTTTTTTCGAGGCAGCCAAGTTTGCTAATATATCTTTGGTGCAGCTGTCTTCCTGCCCCCAAAGGCTCCCGAAGGACCCCCAACCCTATTAGAACAAATGCGTTCGCCTTTTGTAAAAAAAAACGGGGGGGGGGAGAAAGAGCGGTGCGGGGAGAGGAGCATTTGCCGAGGCTGTCCTATTACGGCCGACATATGATCAATAGGTTGATAACCCGGCAACATCAATATAAGCGACAGAACAATGAGAGATATCATTGAACATCTATCTTAATATAGCCAGCTACAAGAGGACTGACAAAGAGGAGGGGGCGGGGAGGAGGGGGAGGCGGGAGGGGAGGGGAGGGTGATGATGGGAAAGGGGGAGTTCGGCCTCATGAAAATTCTGCCCCACGTATTCCCATCTCCAATCCAATATGCACACAAACTCCCCCAGCTGCTTGAGCTATTATTTTCCAATTTCAATTTGACACCCCAGCCTTTCATGCTAATTCTATTATTGTAGGAAGTTTATGTGATTTCATATCACTAGAAATCGGTAATGTATAATAACCCTTTGGGCAAGGAAACCGAATCCCGCAGCCGCCACCGGGAAAATAATTACTTTCATATCAAAACGCACCAGGAGCTGGCCAGCTTCTTATAGCCTGAAGCTCCTAACCTCATGTGTGTGTGGGGGGGGGGGGGTGGGAGGGGGAGCGGGAGGGGGGAGGGGGAGGCTATTAAATGAATACATTTGTTAAGCAATAAACACACATAGAAATCCTAAAGATGGAGGTGCTGCAGGAGGGGGGACTTAAAAATTAAATGAAATTAAATGGAAGAAGCAGGCAAAACTCACCCCACTTTTAAACTACTTGAAAAAAAAAAATTCAAGTCAGCCAAAGATTTACTGCTTAGCAATTAGGTTATTACTACGAGGTTTTTTTTAAGGATTTTTAAAAGTCTCGTAATAGTAACTTTTGTAAAGGGACTGTAAAAATATGCCAAGGAAGCAAAAGCCAGGTTGATTTTTTAGAGAGGTTTTTATTTATCAAAAAATGTTTTTACATATATAAATATCTTTGAACATTTTTGCATTTTACAAGGTTTTGAGGATTCGCTGTTGTCGTCTTTATTTTTGTTTTTAAAGTTTGTGTCCACATCAAGTCCAGCTTCTGTTAATACCGATCGTACCCACCCCCCCTTTGGAAAGGAAAAAAGAATGGAAAACATGGATCACCTGATTGTAAATGGAACCGGGCTATAGACTCGGAGAGTGGGGGGCAGAGGGAGCCGAGATGGAAAATAACGGGAAGGGGGGAAAGCTGTTCTCTTTTTAGTATATACGCAGTGAACGGGAGGCGGCCGGAGGGCGCGGAAGACCCCCGGGAGGGGCGGGGGCGGAGACACTTCCCCGCGCGCCCCCGTCCCCGCGAGGATCGGCCGGGGCCGCCGTCCTGTCCCGCGCCCCGCGCCCCGCGCCCCGTCCCGGCTCAATCCATGTCGACTTCCTCGCAGTCCGCGCCGCTGGTCTGCGCCAGACAGGCTGGCTCCGCGCGGCAGTCCGAAGCGTCCCTGGGCGGGCAGGCGTCCTGCGCGGGGGACTTTGGTT